TGTCTCACTTTCACTTATTTTGAAATTGCGTGAAAAAATTTTTATAATTTACACTTTGTAATTATTGCATACTTATCAACTTACCTTTTATTCCACCTGAAAATACGATTTTTACAATAATTACAAAGTGGAATCAAAAAATCTCAATATCACCTATTTTGGCGAAAAACTTAGCAATTAACGAGTGAAAGACATGTTTTTGCAAGAATTCAGCGATTTTTTATTCTGCCATAACTAGGCACCGCAATGAAAGGGGGCGGGGCGACCAAATTTTTCTCCCCTTTTCAGAAATCCATCTTTGAAGGCTTGTACCGGGCGTTAGAAACCCATTATTTTTTTGGTGAGAACTTGTCCCTATGTAATCGACTACGCTGAATCCAATGAAATTATCAGTTCTTCGATAACTTTATTATTTTGATTCGAAAACTTCGAAAAATAGAAGTGGGACTGACAAAGTGGACTAAAAGTGTTGGATGGAAGTTCGCGCCATTAGATTTTTTAATGGATTCTGATAGTTTTTGAACTGGGGGATTGGATTTTGAAATAAAATCAAAATTCTAACGACGCCCTTGTTTCACAATTTTCAGCCAAAGTTCCAGCTAAAATAAATAAAAAATTTCAGCGATGACCCCAATTTTTTTTTGCATATTATGGTAAAACTAAGTCTTGTGTATACTTCTGCCAATTTTCAGAAAGATTGGATACCTCTAAGTAGTTTTGATACTCATCCGAAAATTCCAAACTTTCAAAATTTTCAGTTTTTGGAAGTTTTGAAGGTGACACAGGTGAGCGCCACCGATTTTCTTTTCACCATAAGATTCTACGCAAAATTTGCCACTAAGAGCAATTATAATTAAAAAATTCTATCGACGCCCTTAATGTGTTATACGTCTGTTTCCTTATCTATCATGGAACAACTTGTAAAAAATAGGAAAGAGGCAACACCGGAAGGAGACGGCAGGCAATGAAAAGTCGTCCTTTCCTCACTCTCATCTATTGCTTCCAAGGGAAGTGCAGCGGTGGCAGACTGGTTAGTGGGCGCGCGCACCGATCTGAAGACCGAAGTTCGCATCTCCCATGGGGTTTTTTGTTTTTTTTTCCTTTTTTCAATGGTTTTTTCCTTTTTTCAATGTTATAAACTTATTCTTTTCGTTTTTTTACCCTAAAAACTGCTTTTCCGACAAACCATGATGCGATTTTGATGAAAAAACAGCGCTCGGAATAGCGCCACAATGAAACCGCGCCGCAGCTAAGCCCCGCCCACTTTTCTGCGCACCGCAAAAAAATGAGGAGAAATTCAGTACATTGAGGTCTGGTATAAAAGGGGCTGTAACTCGGGATTGAATGAAGATTTTTCCCTGAAATTTTGGGAATGGACTTCTATAAAGTAGGAGAATACAATCCAACAATAAAAACTGGGAAAAGTCTATTTTGAAAATTTTGTTGTGGTGCCTAGCCATAACTCTTTTTCACAAGACCCATATCACACACATCGCCCACCCACCTAGAATCTATCTAGGATACGCGCGCATTCGGAACACTCGATTCAGCCTCTCCCGCATCGCCAACATATGAGACTCATCGCAGCTCGTTTTTCGCGGGGTATGTGGAGAGCGGCCGACATCTCGCGGGTTCCGCCGTCCACTATGTTTTGCGTGTGGAGTGGGCGGGGCGAAAAAAAGAGGGAAGAGGGGGAGAAGAGACGCAGACGGAGAAGAGGAGTGGGCTCAAAAGAGGGAAATACCTTCTCCACATCAACCTTCAATTGTTGTAGTTCACTGGATTCGTTCTCAAACTTCTCTTCAGTCTGTTTAATCTGCTCCCGGAGTTCTTTCATCTCTTCCACTTGTTCTTCCATAACTCTCAAAGTGCTGAAAATTATCAATTTCCTTTAGAATCTCTCAAATAATTAAAGTAACCATGCGAGCTCCAAAAATGCATTAATCCATCTGCAAAGGCAGGCGCAAACCACCGATTCATGCTCGATCTTATTCGCATTTAATTCAGCTCTCTCCACGTATTTCTTCAGAATCTTCATCTGATCCACAGTCAAAATATCAGCGTCGCAGGTGGCTAATTTGATGAAAAACGATTTATCACTGACGAATTTCACCGACTCTTGCCATGTTTCTGCGGCATGTCTCTCTGGAAAACTTATTTAAGAATTAGGAGAATAAGGCTGAAGAGGCTACTTGGTTTGAAATTCGGTTCAAAGATGGATCGCAGCATTTCACAACACAGGCGAATTCCGACTGATGGTTTTGTGATTTTTGACAAAGTTTTAATATCGGCGTTAGAGAATTTGAGAAGTTCTTCCACACATTTACGGAACTCTTCTTGGGGAGCCTGAACAATTGAATTTGATAGGAAGATTAAGAAAATGTATACAGTAAAACCTGTGATTCAAACTGTCCATCTACCGTAAGCACTCTAATAGAAGGGCAATCAATACCTGCCTTTTGAACTCAATTTTCTCAACTTCTATAAAAGATATCAAAAATCTGTCAACTAATAAAACATGAATCATAATATCACCAACACTTTAACAGTTGTCTTATTTTTTTATATCCCTTATCAAAACCATGAAAATTGACCAACAAAAAACTAAAAATATCGTAAAAATCAATTTTGGGGATCTGACAAAAGAAGTGTTTTCAGGCGGGCGTTGAGAATTTTCTGAAAATTTCAGTACATATAGTTTGAGACATTCTCTATACGATGACAAAAAAATCTAGGTCCAATTCTCACCAGACAGCTGAAAATCTTCGTCTGAAAATTTGAGCCGATTTTGCCACACAAGCGATTCCAGCTTCCCGCTCCCTCCTCTACCACTTTCACGTGAGTAGAAAATGTGGCTGTGTGGTGTTGTGGTAAGAGGGTGACTCATTGCCTATAGGCGTGATTATGCTGGTTCGAACCCCACTGTGGTCAAACTTTTTGTTGCGTTTTTTGAAACCAATTTTTGATTTCCAGTTCGGTCCTTTAGACACTTTTTGTTACCTTTTGATGAATTTCAATGGTTTTCCAAGTAAAAAAGTATTTTATGAGAACTTTATGAAAAATTTAAAAATGATCATTTCGATCGGTCCTTACAGCATCCTATTGTTAATCAACGAAAACTTCAGTCTCTGAAAATTACTCAACTCTGCTCTTTTCGAGGTGGGGTACTGGTAAATCGATCACACACAAGATTTGAACCTATTTCTATAGATTTCAGTTCATTTCAAGCAATATTCAAGGAGTTAGGGATAGTCAAAGTTCTAAAAACAATCACATTTTGGATATTTTTTGTGCCCAAAGACGAAATTGGGCTGTCAATTTTTGTCAGAATGTTATTTTTTATTTTTCTGAATAATTGGACCATTTTTTCAAAAATTTCAAAAAAAATCGTTTTCAAAGTGTGGGGGTGATTTTTTTTGATGGTGATTTATTTTCAAAAAAAAATTTTTTTGAAAATGTTCAAAAACTATTTCAAATGAAAGAGAAGTGTTCGAAAATGAGTTTCGCATTCAAAAACATCCTGAAAAACGAGTTTTAAAGCTCGAAAAATGAGCATTTTCAGCCAAAATTCAGTACTTAAAACACTTTGAGAGCCCATATTCTGATTCCTATTGGGAATGGGACCGAGATATTGTTGAAACCGTTTTCAGCATGTTCGAAAGTACCTGTGTACAAATTTTCAGCAAATTCTCAATGCCCCTCTGAAAACACTTCTTTTGTGAGAAAAAATTGCTAGAAGGCACTAAATTCTCCAGGAAATTTCAGGCAAGATCATGAGAAGCAAGAACACTTTAGCTGGCAATCAAGACAAATGTGACCTGTGGAAGTTTCGAGTATCTAAAAATTGTTTGCCCACTCAAAACGTCAACTTTGACCTAAACTATCTCGATCCTTGTGAAATATATAAAAGTTTTTGTAAACTGATAAAATATTGATGATGTTGTGATAAATAATTTATTCGTTAAAAACTTTTTGAAATCTTGCGCAAGAATTGAGATAAATGAGCTCGAAGTTGACCGTTTGGGTGGGCTTTTATAGAGTATATACTTTTCCCGATTACTATGTAATTTCTAAAAAGTTTCAATGTTAGAATATTCCAAATGAAGAGTCTACGGGAACATCATTTGCCAATGTTCTATTCCATTACCTTACCGAAACAATTGCCTCTACTGAAGTTTTCAACGCTTCTTCTGCTGCTTTCATTGTCTCCAAATTTGCTGTTTTCACAGTAATCAATTCTGAAAGCACCTCGATCCGTGCACTTTTCACATTCCTCTCTTTATTCATTTTTGATAACATTTCCTCTTTCTCAACAATCCTTTTTTGAACTGCTTCAACGTTCACATCTTTCCCGATTTCCGCTAATTTTTCAATTTGATCACATGTATGAAGCGCTTCATTCAATCGTGTGCCTTCTGCTACTAGTTCTCTGAAAACGAAAAAAAACGCGGTCAGGTAGGTATCATGTATTAAGAGTAATGCGGAAGTGTTTACTACTTTTTCTCAATCTGATCGCTTATCTTCTTCTTTCTATTCTCTCTTTTTTCCATTTTTCAGGGACACTTCTCACATTAAGATTCTGCCGTTAGAGGTGACACAAAGAGTGTTGACCACCGCATAAACAGAAAAAGGGCC